TCTTTTAGATTTTTTGTCATGCTCCAGTGTATACTACACAACTGCCTGATTTTTGTAAAAACAAAGAGAACCGCCTTATTTTAGAGGAAAACCATGTAAGTTGGTCTCTGTTTTATTTTTGTAGTAGTGCAATGTATGCATATATTTTTTTCAGTCTGACATTATAATTTTACGAGGCTTAATCTACACAGAAATGTGTGTTAGAAATTACCCAATGTACCACCAGTAAAGAATGGGTTTATTAGCTTAGAAATAACATTGTCTTTTTGTTTGTTTGTTTGTTTTTAAAAAGTTATCATTTAGCAGGAAAGGATACAAAATTATTCAGCACAGTCCTGTTTTTGAAATAGACATCTTCTGGAATAAACTATCACTTCTGTGTAATATTGATATGAAAATACAAGTTAAATGTAAGAAATAGGTAAATTTTCCTGGGCTCTACCTGCTTAATAAAGACCCTCCCCATCCCTCCCCACTCAAGGTGTAGTGGGAGAGTCACGTACAGTTGTGTTAGCAAATTTTAATGATTTACTGCCCTTCGGTTGTTATTATTCTGTAGCTGAGAGGTAATAACAGGCTGTGAATGCACTGCATATCTTTGCAATGCAAACCAAAACTGAATTAAATAAGCCATCAAAACAATAAATGAGACTTGAGGGGCTGTAATTTAATAAAGCAAAGGAAAACTATCACAATTAACCATCAGACTATACCTTCACATTAGATTGTGTGGTAGGTTTACAAAGTAAAATACCTACCAGGGATTCAAGGTGAGGAAAGACAAAATTAGATTTCCTCATTTAGACATGCATACTAAGTGTCTTAGCCCTCATGACAATCTATAATGATCTGATTCAGTCAGTGCGACTAAGAGAGTGCTTCAGGTCACACGAAAGTGGACACCCTGTGGCTGGTCTATGAATTGCTCACAAGGCTTCATTGATCTCGAACTGAATCCTGCCCTGGACATTGGTAGCAGGCAGCCAGAGAAATATAGGGGAATTTTTAGCAATTATTTGAGTATGAGGTAGCTTATGCGTTTCCTGAGGTCAGCTGGCATTCACTCTGGTACCCAGGTCTCTTACAGAACATCAACCTTGCAGAAAGGATTGGATGAAGCCATTCTGCTCTCTTAAATTTTCTCTTCAGCGATCTCTTTCTACTTTACTAACTTTCTTCAGGATCTACTGGTATTTTCTCTTACGGCTCTATTGGGAACATATAACGTCTTTCCTCCTGGCACACTGGTCCTACAAGAATGCGTAGCTGCAGGTTTCCTTCGCCTCTAAAAGAAGGATCATATCATTATGCAGGCTCTCTAGAATCACTAAAATACAGAGTATTTCTATGCACATTCCTGAAAGCAAAAAAAAATATTTATTTCTCTGATCTGTTACATTTATTGACCTTGATTGTTACATCCCTTTTGCAAAGTATGTTGGACTGTTGTACCTCAGAGAAAATGCAGATAGAGGTATATGAAGTTAAAGCAGTAAACACATTGTTTACTTTGGAACAAAAGCTACTCTAATGCTCTTAAATGGAGTGAAAAATGGGATGGGGGTAGAAACCCTGTGAACGTAGGAAGGGTGTTAGAATGTCCCTACAGTGCTAATATACACGCAGAAATCCTACTAGCTTCCCCTCTACCTCACACGTATCTTATGTTTTTTCCTTTCAGATAGGATATCTGTGATATGGGTATGAATAAACTCTTAGACATTGTTCTTAGCTTGTATTTAGTTTAAGTGCAATGGGGGAAGGCCAACAAAGCAGATATCCTG